CTATTAGCTCTCTATTTTACTTTACCTCTATTCATCTTAACTAAATGTCATTTAGGTTCATAGTCCATGAGCAGGAGATATTTACAGCACTTTGAGAAATATTGAGTAACTTCCCTCCTTAACGCACTTACCTATCTTAACGTTCTTTCTATTTCCCATTTTCCACTATTTCTTACATCTAAAGTCTGTCTTTCCAATCTCTTCGTAAGACCCCTTTAGTAAAAAGAATGTCAACAATAAGAGGGGGAGTTATAGTAGTGGGGAAACAGAGGGGGTTTCAGGAGAGGTTTCTTTAGAAGTGGGTGTGGCAATAGAACTAAGAGAAACTGGAATTTGGGACTTGTGAGCCAGATCAGATTTCAGTACATCATTACCAATTAACCTCATGGAGAGTTCGTTGTTAGTCACAAACACAATGACTCCTGTGACCAGAGGAACAATTATAAACATTATGGCAAGAAAAAATAAAACATGAGGGTAGGATGTGTTCCACCCTTTCTTTCCCCCAGCTGGAACTTTGTCAAGCAACATTGGAGGTCGGTTGGGCTTTGCCACTGATGTCCTTGACTATTTCTGTAATATAAATTTATCCACATAGAAATTTGTGTCAATTAATATAAATAGTTATTAGGTTTTGGTAAAAATTTCCAAATTGCTCTTTAAGAAGGTTGTCTTAATTTATAGGTGCCTACTTTCCTACAAACTAACCAACAATGGATGATAGTTTGCTTGTTTTACAGTTTGCCAGTTTTATGTTTAAAAAAAGCATTGATGTTATATATCTTTTCTTCTTTTTTTTTTTTTTTGGTACCAAGGATGGAACTCGGGATCTTGTGCTTGGGAGGCAGGCGGCAGCACCACTGAGCTAAATCCCCGGCCCTATGTTATATATCTTTAATGGCTAGTGAGGGTGAAGATTTTTAAAATATGTCATGGCCATTTTGGCAAGGTGTTTAACTATTAGGGAAAACAAAACTTCTAGCCCTTGAGGGTTAAAGTAAGAGAGTATTGTTTTAAGAGTAACCTTAAGATGACAAATTGGAAGGTCAAGTATAAATTAGAGTATAGATTAAATAACAGCTTGGCATCCTTTCTGAATATCTAAGCCTCTTTGCATAAAGCTCAGCCTTTGGCATTTAGTCCTGGACAGTACCTTCCAGACTGTAAGGAGTCAGTAAGTAGAGCCAGTTCTTCTGTTCTAATTACTGGGGACACAGGCCTTCCGTATGCAGCTAAGCCCTTTCCCTCCAGGGTGGGGGTGGCTGTGATCTTCGAGGGAATGAGAACCCTAGCCTGAGCAATTCTTTTGGACACTTCCATGTGTGGTGTGCTGTATATTGTGTACTCTGTGTACAACAGCAGAGCTTGGCTTCTAAGAGGATGAAGGGGCTTCCTGCAGGATTACTTGCTTGTCAAAGCATGTCAGGTATTCCCAAGTCTTATATGAGGTTTTTGTGCAGGATGAAGATTCAGGAACTGAAGTGGGAGAAGGGGCAGATGAATGGACACAGTCCAAAGCCACAGTTAGACCCCCTGATCAGCTGGACTTGACTGATGCGGTGAGCAGCCTCCTATCTTTGTTCCTTCTACCTCCTCCAGCGTCAGAGATATGTTCTTCCATAGAACAGATTAGAAGCCTGCAGGGAAGCTGGGTGTAAGATGTCTGCTGGTACCTTGGGAAGCACTAAGCCTCAGAGGAGATAGGGGAGCTTCACATGTGATCCTCTTGGTATTTCTATCCATCAGGAGTTAAAGGAGGAGTTCACCCGGATCCTGACAGCCAACAACCCACATGCACCCCAGAATATTGTCAGGTACAGCTTCAAAGTAAGTCATTCCCTCCTGGGAAGGGCCTCTGTATTTTCTTGGAGTGGCAGTGACTTCCCACATTGCAAAAGCCTCTTGGTTATTCTAGGAAATCATTGTTAAACTGAGGTCCTTGGCTAGAATTCTAGAATTTTATGTGGAGTTTTCCAGAGATTTTAAAAATTTCTTTATGAATCTCCCTTTCAGTCTTGCTAATTACAGTTTCCTAAATGCCTTGCAGAGTCACTTTTCTTTTCCAGATTCTTTAAATGAATCATTTGGTTAGAAAAATACTTTTCCAGGAAAAAAAGAAAGAAAAATATGTTTTCAATATGTAGAACACATTTTTAACTAACATAAGCTATTGAATCTTCAGAAGCTGGACTTTTCTCCAGCCAGATACCTGGGTAGAGCACAGACTCCCTTCTACACAAGAAGATGTTGGTCTCTCTCCCACCCCAGGCCTCCCTACCTGAGAGAAAGCCCCAGCAAACTCTACATGTAACATTTCTTGACATCACGTCCGGGAAGGCAGATGACCCTATGTATTAGCTAGCTTTCTGGTTGATAGAACACAATAACTAACACTCACAATTTAAAAGAGAAGAGTTTTAATTTTGCTCATGGTTTCAGGGGGTTCAATCCATGAGTGACTGGCAATGAAGAAACATCATGGTGGAAGGACATCATGGAGCACAGCTGCTTAGCTCCTGGCAGCTGAGCAGCAGAGCAAGGGCACAGTGCCAGCAAGGAAGGGGCCAGCGACCATGACCCACCAAGACACACTCAGGCCGTCCCCAACTCAGCTTCCAAGCTGCAGTTAAGCTCAACCACCACACTCCATGACTCCTTTAGCACCCATGACGTGGCAAGTCCTCACTTGCTAGACCTGTGTGTGGCGGGTCTTTAGGGGGGATAACACTTATTTTTAGCCATCACAAGGTCAGCTCCTGTAAGGAAGGACTGAAGAGGATTTCAGACTACATTTTGAACTAAAGCAGAAGTGAAGCTTATGTTTTTTAAAATTTCATTTTGAAACCTAATTGTTCCATGCTTACTGTTTGCTAGTATCAGATCCTATTATTAGATCTTTTACATAGGCTATTACATATACTCCTATATTTCTTTGATATAGGAATATTTTTGTCTTCATTTTATGGAAACCAAGGTTAGATTAGATAAAACAAAGTACAAAAGTCATGTAGCCAGGATTCAAGGCAAGATTTGAATTAGTTTGTCTGATTCCAAAGCAACATTACATTGCTTCTTTAAAATGTTTTAAAATATATATGTACAAAATTTTGAATAGATAATAGAAACCCATAGTAAAAATTTCAAATGATTCAAACAGCAATGAAAATAAGACCTCCCTCTGTCCTGTGTCTTTCTCCTTGGAGACAACAGTTTTTTTCTCTTTTTTTGATTTTATTTTTTGACACAGAGTCTCACTATGCAGTACACACTGCCCTCGAACTCACTATGTAGCCCAGGCTGGCCTTGAACTCACAACGATCCTCCTGCCTCAGCCTACTGAGTGCTGGGATTACAGGCGTGTACCACTATGCCTGGCTGTTTTTTTAAAAATAGATTTATTGAGACATAGTTTACATATCATATAATTTACTCAAAGTATGCAGTTCAGTGGCTTTTAGTATATTCATAGACTGTGAAACTATTTGACACAATCAATTTTAGAACTTTTTTTTTTTTGGTACCGGGGATCGAACTCGGGTCCTTGTGCTTGTGCAGCAGGCAGTGAAACCACTGAGCTAAATCCCTGGCCCCAATTTTAGAACTTTTTATTTCTCTCCAAAGAAATCCCACACCTCTTGGCTGTCACCACCCAGTCCTCCATCCTTTCTAGCCCAGGACAGCACTAAAATATTTTCTGTCTGTATAGATTTGCCTATTCTAGACATTTCGTAAGATGGAATCATACAATATATGGTCTTATGTGACTGGCTTCATTCTTTCATTCAGCACGTTTCTGCATCTACGTTTTAGCATATGTCAATACTTCATTTCTTTTTATTGCTAAATAATATTCTATTGTATGAATATACTGCATTTTATTTATCCATTCATCAGTTGGTGGACGTTTGGATTGTTTCTGCTTTTTGGCTATTATGAACAATGCTGGTATGAACATTTGTGTACAAATCTTTGTGAAAAATTTCTCAAACACACTGCTTTTTATTCAGATTGTGTAGTCAACCCCTCTACAAGAGGTTGAGACAAATCCAGCCATATTTCTTGAAAAATGTTGTTCATGAATTTTGGTAATGGCCTCCCTTGCACAACCTACAAAGGTCAGAGGGAAGCTGCCATACTCTTCCTGACGTTGTGCTGGACTGTAATACACCCTCTGGCTTCCTGTCCTGGTGTGGAAAACAGGGTCCCTCTATGACTCAGTGAGTTGGCTGTGCAGGCAAAGACTTACACTGCAAGCTTGGTTTCAATGCACTCCTCTTACCCTTCCTTAGAGTTAACTACTAGGTGGGTAGCACTAGGCTCCCAAGAAAGCTCATCCCATCCACCCTTCTGACAGCCTCCCAGGCCTGCCCGACATCCTTGCACAGAGCTGGTCTCCATCTTATTGATGAGCTTTCAGTCTCCAAAGCTTCCTTGATGTGCTAGAGAGGGGAGGCAGATACTTCTGATCTAGGTGTGTCCCCCCTCCTTTTGCAGAAGCAATGGTGTGTGAATTCCATTCCTAAACTGAAGGGGAGATTCTCAGTGAACTCTGCAGATGGAAGACATGTGGTGACGCACACCTGTAATCCAGCACTCTGGGAAGCTGACACAAGAAGATTGCAAGTTTGAGCCCAGCCTGAGCAACTTAGTGACTTAGCAAGACATTGTCTTAAAAATAATTTTTAAAAATTTAAAGGGCTAGGGATGTAGCTCAGTGAAAAGACTTTGGGTTCAAAAAAATGATAAAAGTGCTGGGGGCAGGATAAAAGTAAAGTTTCAAATAACAACTATATGGAGAATTTATTCCCATGAGACTCTCCATCATTATAATAGTATTTTATTGAATATTAATATTTAGCACTTATTATATCAAGTGCTGTTAATTTTTTCATTATTTTCAATATTCACACTATCTTGCAAATTAGACATCAGTACCTTACTTGACAAATGAAGAAACTGGGGGTTAGAGTGGTTAAGACAATATCATGCGAGTAATAATGGGCAGACTAAGAATTTGAACCCAATTCCTCCTACCTCCAAAGACCATGTTCTTAACCTCTGCACTGTTCTGTCTCCTCAGCATCTGAGTTACCGAGAGAGGAAGGGTTTCATAGTGATGATTGAAGGCAGAGTTTCCCAAATTGTTATAGTGAATATTCCAGCCCTCCAGGGGCAGATAGGTCTGGTGTTGCTGGAGCCCATGGGCTTGTTTCCTCTTCTGTGAGATTATCTCAGTATGTCAAACAAATATAATATTTTACATAATTTAGGAAGGGTTGGACAGAACTATTTTAAAAGAAAGAAGAGACCCCTGGTCTCTAGGCCAATTTTAGTGGTTGCTAGGATGCTGATCAATGAAGAAGCATCTACAGGAACAAGAATATAGGCTCTGTGAATGCAGGGATTGTGTCCTCTTTCGCTCAGGTTTTAATCCCAGACACTTAGAAAATACTTGACGCATTGTAGCTGCTCAAAAATTGTTTTTGGAAAAATGAATAAACAGGAATGCCTGGGCTGTAAGCCTAATCCTGCTTCTCATTTGCTGTGTGACTTGAACAAGTGCCAAACCCAAATCTTCTCTGGATCTTGGTGGTCCTCTTGGATGGAACCAGGGAGACTGGGATTTGGTTGTCTCTTGATAATCTATCCAACTCTGGAATCCAGAAAGTACACCTCCAGGTGGGCCATGCCAAGTGCATTTTTGATGATAATGTCTGACTCGTCCAGCATGGGGAAGTGAGTTGGATCATGTGGTGTGGATGCAGGAGACAAGGCACCTGAACCAGTAATAGGCAAACATAGAGCTCCTTTGTGTTGGAAGGGGAAGATCTTTTAAAATAAATATTAAATAAAAACTTTTTAAAAATTATTTCATTTTCCTCCTCTTCTTTAAACTGAAATACAGTTAAAACTTTACGTTAATAAGGATTTGGTCACATATTTCCTTAAACAGCAATAAATTATTTGATCTTAGAAAATGAAGGCAGACTACGTTCTGACATCAGCCCTTTTAGGGACCCCTGGTCTGACTCAGATGCTCTCTTCTTAGGAAGGCACATATAAACCTATTGGCTTTGTGAACCAGTTGGCAGTTCACTTCAGCCAGGTTGGGAACCTGATCCCCAAAGATTCAGATGAAGGACGGCGGCAGCACTACCGTGATGAGATGGTGGCAGGTAGGACGGTGGCCCACCCTGAGGCTGCAGATCTGAGCCTGGTCTCCTTTCTCTGATCACTTTAAGCAGTTGATTCCTGAACCAGAACTTTTCAGAACCTCTATTACATAATGTCCAATAACTGGATGTCCTGAAAAATAACTCATGACACTTAGGCCAAAACAACTCCAGGGACAGGAAGGGTCTAAAAGACAGCAACCAAGAAGGCTCTCTCTGCCAGGGACTGGGAGAGTAGGCTTGGACTTTGAGCTCATGGCCAATGTCTTAACAAGGTCCACAGGAGTCTGCCAGGGTGGTGCTTTCAGATGCAGGAAACCTTGATGAAGATGAAGAGCCCAAGGAACCAGCAATTGAAGCTGAGAGTCAAATAGATATGGCTATAGCTGAGGTATGGATGATGTTGCCCTCTATCCCATCCCTCTTAGCTCAACCCATGGACAGATAGAGGCTTTGGTGGGAAGGAAGGAGGTCAAAAGTGAAAACTTAGAACCTGCAGGTGCCAACATGTCTGGCAGCATCCTCTCTCCCACCTCCATCCTAGCCCAATGCAGAGCTTCCCCCTACTCCTGATTTCTCACCACCTCCATCTCACAGCTGATCCTCTGGGTCTTTGTTTCCAGGTAGCTGAAAAAGTGGCTGAAGAAGAATTGATGACTCATAAGCAGCCCAAGGACCGAAAGCTTACCAACCAGTTTAACTTCAGTGACAGAGCTTCACAGACCCTTAACCACCCTCTCCGGGTAGAGCCACTGCAGTCCTTTTGCTTTGAAGCTTTGTTCTGTGCATGGTAGAGAAAGCAGCCCTGACTCCACTCCTACCACCCTTCATCTTGGCAGGGGTAACAGGGAAGACTACAGCTTACCTCTCCAAGGAGAGCTGAGAGAACACAGTCAAGTCCCAGTAACCCATCTGGGCAGTTCAAGAGGAGTGACAAGGAGGCCAGGTCCCCCAGAACGTCACTGAGAAGCTGAAACTTGAGCTGGCTTTGAAGAGTAAAAATTAGGACCTGTGGAAAACAGAGGAGGTCACCATGTGCAGGGGTGTAAGGAGGCTAGGAACCAATTCAATGAAGTTGGTAGTCACTGTGGTAGACAAGCTAGGAAAAGCTAAAAGCTTCCCTGAATTGTAAGTATGGAGGATCCTAAGAACCAGGCTGAAAGGACCTCATAGGATTTTAGGTGAGAGACATGCACAGAAGGGTAGTGTTCTACAGAAATGAGTCTGCGATGGAGACAAAGTCTAGAGGGTATGTTTTTGGCAGCACCTGAACATCCTTTGCAGTTCTGATAGATAATCTGAGGGATACAAAATGGGGAGATGGTTATTTTCCCTGGTAGAGTCAGAGACCCCAGTATTAGAGAGAAGCCTTCTTAGAATAAGGGACATTATCCCCAAACCTGTTGGAAAGCTGACCTCTATGCCCGTGCCTGAAAGCTGGTGGTAGGCTAGCTTCTTATGGATCTGCTTGGAATTTATCTTGATTAAAACTGACACAATCAAGCTTCACTGCCCTTGCTTTCTAGCTTAGTCTTCTGAAGGCGGCCAGAACAGAAAAAAATGTAGGCTTTTTGTTTGTTTTATTTTTTGATACTGGGGATCAAACTCAGGACCTCGTGCTTGCAAGGCAGGCATGATGCCACTGAGCTAAATCCCCCACCCAGAAAAATGTAGGCTTTGAATACATCATCCTATCCTTTGCCCAGGCTACTCTTTACTTCCCCAGTCCCAGCCTCAGCTCCAACCAAAATGCTTCTCCAAAAGATGCACTGTTGGATTAAGTGAGAACAAGTGAGAGCATTCTGTGGGTTTTCTGTTGTCACTGTTCTTTAGGATCGAGAATGCCAGATGGAGCCTCCCCCTAGGACAAACTTTTCAGCCACAGCCAATCAGGTAAGACCCTGGGCTACCCTGAAACCCATCACCACCCCCACTCTCATGAATCCTTGTCACATTCAACAGCAAAGGAGATACTGACCAGTTAAGGACTGCTGAGGCAGTCTGTCTTGCTTATCCATCCACTTCATGTCCATTGTCCTGAGCATCTGGTCTCTGAACATGAGACATATAAATAGTAGGGCTCACACAGAGAGATCGGGATCAGCCACATGCCCACAGGACAAGATTGTTCAAGGTGGAAACAGCTTCCTTCAGAACTAGGAGAGAATGGTTGTTCTCATGGACTCTCTGGCACCCTTGGGACCCTGTGCCTGATTGGGCACAGGGTGAAGTGTTAGCACTGATCCTGTCCTCCTGGGAGCCTACAGTACTCCTATAGATCCTCCTCTTTCCTTCTCAAGTCCTCTTGGATGGCCATGCTGATTTACACAGGATATGGTGCTAGGAGACCTAAGCTCAGGCCCTAGCTCTGTTGTTTCTTTTGTTTGGTTGGTTTGGTTTGGTTTGGTTTTGTGAGACAGGGTCTTACTATGTAGTTCAGGCAGGCCTTGAACTCACTATGTAGCCCAGGCTGGCCTCAAACTTGCAATAATCCTCCGGCTTCAGGCCTCCAGAAAGCTGGGATTACAGATGTGTACCACCACACCTGGCTACTGCTTCTACTGTAAGATCCTGAGCAAACCATATGTCAGTTTCTTTCTTAATCTCTCCATTTCTGTGATGAGAATGGCAGACAGCCCCCCAGGGTTGTTGGAGGGCTCTGAATGAGATAACAAATACTGAGTACTTTTCAGTATGGAGTACTGGCCTGAGTAAACTTTTTAAACGTAAGGTGTGCCAATCTGGCCTCCAGGTGGCAGTGACTGCCCAGCTCTGGGGTGCACTCTGTGTGATCTATGGCATTTTCCCAGCTCCAGATTCTTGCTGCTTTCTCTGCTGCTATCCTTTGGCTTCCTGTTCTTCAAATCCAGTTGGCAGGGCTTTACTTACATTTTGTTTATCTCCTTTTAATGCTGAGGTATGGTCAGTGCTATAGATAGCCTGATCTATTATGTTTATCCCATCTCCACGGGAGGAGATATTTTTACAATTTCCTAACTCAGAGTCTTCTAAATCACATACACAAAAATGTGAGCTAACCTGATATTTGCCCATTTGTTCTGCCTAATGAGAGTGTAGTCTAGAACAATGTTGATCTCCAGCTGAAGACCCAGACCTTGAGCTTCATTCAGGATAGATAAGCTCTGAGAGCTCCTTCATTCCTGTTCCAGAACTGATGGTTAGCAGGGAAGACAGACGTTGAATACATAATGACAATGGAGCAAGCAGAGGCTGTTATGGAGGGATGTGACAAGGATTAACACGTGAAATTCCCAAGCTCTGAAAGCTGAAGAGGAGCTAGCTGGGGGAAGGTTGTGCCGTGTGGTGACCCTCTTACCTTGCCTTTATCTAGTGGGAGATCTATGATGCCTATGTAGAGGAGCTCAAGAAGCAGGAAAAGATCAAAGAGAAGGAGAAGACAAAGACTCCAGTGGCTAAAAAAACAGGGAAGCTGGCCATGAGGAAACTGACATCTATGGAGTCCCAGGTTTGCTGGGGGTGGCCTAGGCTCTATCACAGAATGTCTGAGTGGGGCCTTGGCTGCCAGGCAGACAGAAGCCTGGCTGTCTGGGATAGATTCACAGATACTTAAAAGGGTGGCTAATGTTGAGGTATGAATAGATCTTTCCTTGGGGAAGATATAAGGAGAGCTATAATTACCTCTAGCGTTGCACACCTCTTTCCATTTTGATCTAGGTCTGAAGGCTAGCAGAGATTAAGGATCATTGGGCTAAGGGATGACAGAAGATATGGAGTTTCTTGAAAGCATCATATACACCCTGGAAGAGCTGGGGAGTCTGTCTCCCCAGGAGACACCAGTGGATAAGGCACCACTTCCCTGGGGTTTGGGAGGGTGAGAAGTGCTTCTGTTGTCAGTCCTTGAGTTTAATTGTGCCTGACATTTAGGATGAGTCCTCAAGGCCAGGAACCAGGTCAGAGATGGTTGCAATCATCAGTGCCAGGCCAATGGATGGTCATTTTGGACAAGAGTTCCCATCAGTATCCATGTGAGAGTCAGCATAAACATCATGATGTGGGGGGCTTATTGGGACATGACTAACATAGGTTTGGTGTCAGTATGGCACTTATGCTAATGCAACTATAGGAAGTCACTGCAGAAAGGGTCACCACAGGGAGATGAAGAAAGGCAACATTTATCCTTTTGACAGAATGACATCTGGGTCAGGAGCCAGAGTCTCAGTGTGGAGATCAGGATGTGTGTGACCTGCAGGGGAAGAGATCCACAGGAAACTGGGGGCTGGTTTCAGCACCTCGGAGAGCTCCCGCGACCGCTCTTGGGGAAGTGGTTCTGCTCCACTCCAGAATAACACCCAGAGCAATTAAAGGAAGTTCTGCTTCCTTTGTCTGAGATGTTCTCACTTCCTCTAGTTTTTTCTGTCCTGTGACCCTGATGATGTCACATTTGAGGAGAGGTTTGAGCATCCCCTGTAATTCCATTAAGTTTCATTCAGTCACTGACCAGGCACTCAGTGACCATAGCCACAATGGGCACCAGAGCTCTAAGGTGAAGGATGGAACCTCTGTCCTGAGGTTTGCTCTGTTCAAATCCTTGACTTCCATTGCACCATTCCCTACAGGTTAGAGCCTTCAAAGGATCCTTTGACCTAGTTCAGATTCATGTGAAGAGCCAAGTTTTCACTATGGGCACTGTGCTGAGACCTGTGGTCACAAAAACTCTAGTTATAATCATTAAGACCAAGAAGCTGGAAAAAATTTCCTGTGACAGAGCCTGGAAATTGACCTGGGGTCTAAGTACTACCAGAGTTGCTGTACAATACCCTCTGAGGGGAGGAATTCCCCACTCCCATCTCCCACACTGGGCTCTTCCAGCCTGACTGACACAAAAGGGTGTGTTACAGGCAGATCTCAGACCTCTGGGCTAAGAAGCCACAGTGGAGGCAGGACACTGGGGAGAATAATGTACATCCATTCCCCAGTGAGTGTGTTGGTGTGCAACCTCTCCCGAAAGAAACTGAGCTCTAACTAGGATCCCAAGTACTGAACCAGACTGTCTGTGGAATAGAATGGGAGTGACCTTTACCTTCCGCTTTCCCTAGGCCTAGTGCTGGAGGAGAGTAACACCTTTTCTTCAAAGATTTGGGTCTGTCTAGGTTGGTATAAAATTCAGGTGTGCAGGAGGGAAGAAAAGACAACAAGTTCATGATACCTTGTATCATCAGGTGCCTGATGATGGACGTCAATTCTGTTTCATTAATGATTGAGTGAATGCACAGAAATAAATGCAGGCGTGTGTGATCTGAAAGATTAGACAGGAATGGGGGAAAGGGCTCAGAAGCCACAGGTTCAATCAGAACCAATAAAGCGATGGGGTGCTCAAGCAGCATAGCATCAAGAATAAGGGAGGTAAACACCTACTGTACTCTTTTCAGAGCACATTTGGAGCCCTGAGCTTTCCAGAACCAGAAGTTGGCCAGGCTGAGAAGGGACTGGCTCTCTGGGTAGGGCAAGGAAATAGGTCCTGGAGTCAACAGACCTGGGTTTATATCAAGGTGTGGCCACTTGTTACCTGAGGTTTTCTGAAACTATAATTTCCTCATCTGTAAAGCCACCCTGATGATACCTATTTTACAAAATTGTTGTGAGAACCTAAGATAATTTATGTACAGCCTCTAACATGGCTCTTGCCTGCTACTGATCAATAGATGGTAGTTACTATTGATATCTCATGCCATGGCTGATGGAGTTTGAGAGAGGCCACCTTAGGAAATGCTGACCTGGGGGAATGAGGCACTATCCTGCTACATCAGAGGAACTATCATCATATACATCATTCCTTGTAGCAAGAAGACAGAGATAGGATCATATGTAGAAGGCCTAAGGAGGCAGGTTTTAGCTAACTGGTCATCTGACCACAGAAAGCACTACATCACAGGGGGACAGTCAAGCTATCCAGGCAGCTGCTGAGGGAAGAGAACTGTGCTTTGGTTCAGGGATCAGGGAGAGTTTCTGAGACCATATAAATTTTGAAGACTATGATTGTAAGATTCCAATGTCTGTTCCCCTTGGTCAGTTTTCTGATGTAAATTTAGAGTCAGTCTGAGGTGTGGCAAAAGGCCATCAAAGGACAGTTTCCCAGATGCAACTTTATAAGCCTTCACTTAGCTTGACATAATGGTGCATGCCTGTAATTCCAGCACTCGGCAGGCTGAGGTAGGAGGATTGCCACAAGTTCAAAGCCAGCCTAGGCCACATAGTAAGACCCTGTCTCAAAAAAAAAACAAACACAAAACACAAAACAGAACAGAAAGTCTCTACTTTGCTGTTTCCTCTGACACTACACTCCTACTATTGTTACCAAAAACCAGGTTAAGTCATAACATGTTCCTTGTTGCATTTAATTCTCATAATAACCCTATAAGCCAGATATTATCATCCATCCTCACTTTGTCACAAGAATTCTGCAACTCAAGAAAAGTTGAATAACTTGATCAAAGGTGCCATCTGGCTCCTAATTGATGGGATAGTATAGAAATGCAGGTCTGCATGGTTCTAGAACCGATGCTCTTACCACTGCCTGCCACTCCTCAGAATCCATGGATCTGGCCCCCTGGACACCCTCTGGAGGGCTGCCCAATCAGCCTGCCATGTGCCCTAAGTAATTTGGGCCTGCCTTGCCAGCCCCAAACACTTTGCTCTTCTATTAACCCTCCAAGTGGTTTACATTGTAGATTTATAGAATTTCATACAATTAGATTTCTGTTTCTTCATTCAAAATGAGTCATTTTCCCTGATGTTGAAACTTCCTGCTCTTTCTTTGGTCTAGGCAGTGAGCCCTGGGATTAGGTGTCTCAGTTTAGCTTCTTACTCCTCTGCAAGCATATCTCTCCCCTCTTTGGGCCTCTGTGACTTCCTCAACCTATGACTGAGTAAGAAGTTTGGACCAAGAGATCTCTGAAGTCTTAATGGGAGCCTGTCATTTCCTGAGCTGATGAAACCTCTCTGTCCCACCAAAGAAGCCTCCAATCTGTCCTTGTCTGCTGTCCCCTCCAATACTCTGCCTGGGTTTTCTTCTATGCCTTATTTTGTGCTCAGAGACATGCGTTCTCCAAAACAAATTCAGAATGTGAAGCAGGCTCTATGCAAAGGCAAGACAAGTTGGCTTAGGTCCCCTTGTACCACCTGAGAGGGAAGGGTTTCTGGAAGGCAGTGGTAGGATGAACTGGACCTTGAGCCAGGCAAGGATACAATTCCAGAGAGTGTCATGAAGACATTGTTGAACCAATTGCAAGTCCGAGGTCCATCTCAGGGTGTATGACCTTGTCAGGTACTGGCTTATGAGGATGCATGGCTTCTGTATTTCCACAGAGCGATGATATCACCAAAGTGTCCCAAGCTGCTAAAATTGTGGAGCGGATGGTCAACCAGAATACATATGATGATGTTGCTCAAGGTAAGTTTTAAGGTGATAGTATTAGAAATACTTTATAAAAAGCTCATATTTGAGTGTCTCATGCTAAGTCCTATGGGCACAAGGAGGGAAAATCCCTTCCTCCTCTCTGAATGTCATTGAGAAGACAAGACTTTGCAAATCAACTATGAAGAGTGGTCTAGTAGAAGATGATGAGTCTCTGTAGTGATGAGATCTGACAACGGTGTGAGAAGCCCCTGTACATTAGTGATGCCATGTCCTCTTAATAACAGTCCTAGGAAGTAGGGAGAGCAGAGATGATTACCCCTAATTTGCACACAAGGCAGCTAAGGCCAAGGCTACCTGGCTGGTGGGTGTCAGGAAGGACCCAAGTCTAGTTTTTAAGCTTCTTCATTCTGTATTCTGTCCTTAGCTCAGTCAGCTTGGGCATGCTATAAAGCTAGAATGTATGGAATAGAAACTTCTCTTGGAATCCTCAAGGAGTGAAACTGGAAGGTAAGAGGTGAGTGAGAGTAGTCAAGGAAATCTTCAGGAAGGGGAGAGCTGGATGCCAGCTCTAGAATGCTGGGAAGTGGTGAGAGTTCATGCTGGAGAGGCAGTCGAATCCAGTTTATGAAAAGCCTTGGGTACCATAGGGGATATGAGCTCTCTCTACAGATAGTTCAGAGTCACAGAACCTGCCAGGCAGGGACATAGCCCAGTGAGAGCAGGGCTGAAGAAGGCTGTGATTGGACAGAACATAGGGTCAGAGGTGAAGGTGTGAGGTTGCATGGGCCTTGCCACAGCTTATCACCCTGGCTCATAGGGGATGAAGAAAAAGGAGCACTTATAATAGTGAAAGACAAGTACCACCATTATGTTATGCAATTTACATGTACTATATTATTTAATTTTTTTCAGGATAAATACACTGTGAATACCATTATTATCTCCATTTTATAGATGAGAAACTCAGACAGGAATGTTACACAGATAGTGGGAGCTGTGAGTGGTGGTGTCAGAACTCGAACACAGGCCCCTGGGATCCATTGCCTAATCACTTCTCTACCAAGCTACAGAGCCACTGAGCTGGAAGAGATGTTTCAAATAAACACACTCAATAGATCTATCTTGGTGATTAATTAGTGATGAGGCAAAGAAAGAGATTGATTCAGAAACACTTAAATCCTGGGGGCCTGGGAAATTCTGGTGTCTTTGACAGTGCCAGGGAAACGGAATCCTTCCCATGGCATGAACAGCACATTCCCAAGTGGCTTGTATTTCCCTAAGAGGTTGTGCATTTGTTTGGAGCAGCTGCCTCCCCAGAGTTGGCAGCTCCTTACTGCTGGCTGGTCTCCTTTGCTGACAGCCTAGGGCTTGTCTTGGTGACTTGATGCTCATTGCTTACCCATGGGACATAGACACTAAGGCTGCCAAGACCAGCAGCCTAAACAAGCCCCCTCGTTATCATTCAGGCTGGAGACCGACCTTGAGTGCTTTTCAAAGCTGTCAAAGTACAGAGCAGCTGTGAATGAATTTGTCACTCACACAGCTTGGCTTCCTGAAACCCAGCTCTGCAAGTGGCCCACCAAAGGGCTGCAAACCTGATTAATATCCACGGAGAAATTGGCCCTGTGAGCCACTTTCATTTATAAGAACACAATCACATAAAAATGCATTGAACTTTCATTTTTGTTAATTGCATACTCTTTTCCTTTGGGGAAATGTAATCATGAAGGAGAAGGGAAAATAGAGAAGTGTTACCAATTAATCTCTTCTCTGAAGTGAGGTATTTTCAGAGTTACTCCAAGCCCAGGAATCTCTGGTGTGATCAAGGATCATGTCTTTCTGACCACTTGAGTCTTTTTTATTCTGAGACATTTTTGAGGCTCGAATGTCATCCCACGTCCTCAGGGTGTGGGGCATTATGAGAGAGGCTAGGGCAATGCCGTGCTTGTCTGATCAGCTTGGATAAGAGGGTTCATTTTTTGTCATCCTCGTTTGGAAAGGAGACCAAGAACCATTTCACTTCTGTTGCTTTAATTTCTCAGCATTCTTTGATCAGGCTGGGTTGTCTGCTGTGTGGCTGTCCCTGTGCTAGGTATTGGTGACCCAGAGATGAATATGAGCTGTATGTTGTTGGGCAGATAGGCAAAAGAACAATGTGACAGATGTTTAATTAGAAAAGAGGTAGGACTGGAAGAACTCAAACTCAAAACAAGCTGGCATGGTGGCCTGAGCCTGTAATCCCAGCTACTTGGAGGCTGAAGTGGGAGAATATAGCTTGATCCCAGGAGTTTGAAACCAGCCCAGGCAACATAGTGAGACTTTATTTTGAAAAAATGAAATGAAACGAAAAAGAAAGAAGAAAAGAGAAGTAAAGAAAATGAAGGAGGCATTACAGAGGGAAAGGAGGAATTTGATCTGGATCAGGAGTGAATAGAGAGCAGCCAGACATCTAGACGTGGAAAAGCATGTAGAAACAGCCAAAAACAGGAAACAACTTGATTTGCTGATACTAATCAATATAGAGGCTACATGGACAGCTGCCTAGAAATAATGTAGAGGTAATAGCCAGGAGTCTTGGTTGGATTAGGGAGCCCCTGTTCAAGGATAGCCACTGAGGGAGTTTCAGTGGGATGGAGAGAGTGGGTGGTGAGCAGACTGTTTGCTGTCACTCTGGTAGCTCTGTGGAACATAAGCTGGAAGAGGGACTGTGGAGACAGGAAGAATAGTTAGACGGCTGATGTGCTAACCCAGGTGATGGATGCCACCCTGAGCAGTGACTATGGGTTTGGAGAGAAGTGAATAGGTTTAAAAGATAATGGAGAAAAAGATGAGAAATGGTGGAAAAAGATCAGTCAAAGATTACTCAGGTTTCTGGTTGAGACAAGTGGAAAGATGGGGCTTCTACCCTAATTAGATAAAACAGGAGACAAAGACAACTTTGAGAGCAGATGAAGTTGAGTTTGGGGAATCCATGGAGGATCCAGGTAGCTTCATTATAGTGAGGCTTAGCAATAGATAAGAACACGGGATGCATTTTGGGGATTTAAGAGGCAAAATGAATAGAATTATTAATCAGCCTCTGGCAGCTGAACCCTTGAAATTTGGCTGCTCTAATCTGAGCCTTCTGAAGTGCTGGGGAAACTCATGGGTCCAAGCTGGATACCTGGCTGCTGTATTGTAATTTGCCTCCAACAACAGCAATGACAGAAACAATAGCTAACACTCAGAAAGAACTTACTGTGCGCCAGACATTTTTTTTCTAAGTACTTTTCATAAATCAACTCAGTGAATATTCCTCACAACAACCCTTTGAGATAGCTACTATTATTATTCCCTCCCCCCAAACACAGAGAAGTTCATTGTATTACCCATGGAGATACAGACAGTAAATGCTGGGCTTGGGTTTGCCTCAAAATAATAGTCTGAGGGTTGACTCTATCCATTTGTGTTTAAGATTTTTGGGGGGGCGGGTACCGGGGATCAAACTCGGGTCCTTGCGCTTGCGCAGCAGGCAGCGAAACCACTGAGCTAAATCTCCGGCCCATGTGTTTAAGATTTTAAGTACTATGAGGATGCTGCCGACGAATACCGGGACCAGGAGGGTACACTGCTGCCGCTCTGGAAGTTCCAGAATGACAAAGCCAAGCGCCTGGCCGTCACTGCCCTCTGCTGGTGAGCATAGACATTGCGTCAAGCCCGGAGCGCCCATTGCGTGCTCAGCCTTGCATAGCCGCTTCTATTGCACTTAACCACCCTGAGTGTAACAAGTGGCAGTATGAGAAAAAGAGGACTGGGATTCCTGTGAGATTCCAGGATTGCCCAAGTTCTCCCAATTAATTAGTAAGGGCCTCAACTAGACAGGAGGTGTCTGTGGTGTAGTTAGGAACCAGTGCCCATGGGAAGGCTTGATGTCCATGGGAGGGCTGTATTCATTTCCAGTGCCAATTTGTTCATATTTCTTTTGCAGGAATTCAAAGTACAACGATCTGTTTGCAGTGGGACATGGCTCCTGTAAGTGATCTGGCTGTTTATTCATTTGCTTCTGCAAACAGCAAACACCAAGTACCTACTCTGTACAAAGCTCTCTCCCGCGTTCAAGAACACAAGGATAACCAGGATAGTCACTGCTTTTGGCGGGGGGGGGGGGGGGGGCTCACAGTCTAATGGAGAACACCCACAACCATATGGGCAATTAGTGCCAGGTGAAGGAGTATAAGGAGCTGAATATGTCAACTGAGCCTCAGAGAAAGGAAGAGCACCCTGCCAGAGGGGCCAGCCCAGGTTAAGTCTGGAGGCCTGAGAGCTATGGAAGGAAATGGAGCTGTCAAAGGGGCTCAGCCCTCAAAGGCCTTGGTAAGTTATCCCAGAAGTTTATATGTCTCCTGAGGGAAACCACTGAAGGAATTCAAGGACAAGCATACATCCCACTTGGGAAGAAATTGCCCACATGAGACTAAGGCTGAGACCTAATGTTGTCTTCCCAAGAAGAGCTAGAAAGACAGGAACCACAACTGTGGGCTAGGATAGAGGCCCTCTTCCTGCCTCCTCATCTGGCCTTCCTGACCAGGCCCTGGGGCAGGTTGGGGGGAGGTGGGAAGAGGCGAATGTGTGTAGTTCATCCTTCAGCCCCTGTGTCCTGGGAGACCACTGTTTTCCAGATGTCCCTGCCTCTGCCAGTACCACCCAAGGCTGGAGGCAGCACATGTGCTAACTGTGTCTGGGCAATTTGCTTCTCCTTCTTGTTCTGTGGTCTGAGCAGAAGCCCCTACACCTGTGCTGGCGCCAACATTCCCCCTGCCAGACAGGAGAGTACCCTGTACTTCGTTCTAGGCACAGTCTCCAGTGTTAACTGCATGTTTTCTGGCTGGGAGGATCAGCTTCTTAGAACAGAAAAACCCTTCCATACTCTAAGCTGCTGCTGGCTGGCAGACACACAAGCTCCTGGTTGCTGCCCCTCAGATCACCAGTCCACCCGTGCTTTGACCCAGGAGAGGGGGGAGGAGTTGGTGTTTGTCATTCCTCTCAGGGAGGAGACCTTGGAGCTGCTCCCAGTCTCGTGGTCTGGGCTGCCTTTGAGGATGCCTTAAATGCCTGCTTTGTGTCCCTACTCCTGAGGGTGGGCTGGTGCCAAACGGGAAGTGCCCTCCCTCTCTGGCAGGGAACTCTAGCACATTCCTCCCCGTTGGCTGCAGCTACTGGGCCTGCAACTGGGCCTAGGGGTTGGGTTGGGTGGGGCCTCTCAGGAGTGGGTGTGGACCCTCTCTGCCAGGCTGCTCTCAGCCCAGGCTCTCTGCCTAGGACTGAGGTGAAGGTGTGATGGCTTCCTGGAAGGCAGGAGGAGAAACTCCATCAGTTCTACCCCCATTCTTTTCCACCCAGAGTTAAGCAGTGTTTCCTGTTTGGGGTCCTGTGAAGACTGTCCAAGGGGTAGCCTTAGGAGTAGCAGGAAAGGGTACTGTACCTCCCACAAATAGATGGTCTCAAGCGTGACAGGCTCAGTAGCCTCTTTGGGCAAGCCCTTATGCAGGGATGGTGTCTTTGTCCTTTCTTGGTCCCTTGAGCCACATCCATAAGCCAAAGTGGTACCCACAATCATCTATGGACCTTCCCCTGAAGGATTATCTCTCATTATTGTACCCCTGAGGTTTGGTCTTGTCATTGGTAATTTGGGGAGGCTGACAACCTGCCAGGCCTCCATCCTGGGGTCATTGTGAGGTACACAAGACAGAAAAGAAGTAAACATGCCCTACAAGCTGTAGGAGCCACCTGCATAAAGGACAATCATTGCTGACCTATCTGTCATATTCTTTCCCCTGGATTTCCTGAAGTACCCTCAGAAGTCCTGAGCAGAGTAAGGAGGCTGGGGGACAGAGGGGACTCTCTCTTAGACAGCAAGGTCCAGTGATAGTGACAGTAATATTTGTTGTTGCTGTCACTGGCACAGAAGTTGGTAGCCAGCTTTCAGATGAGCATCTATTATAGAGCCTTATATGTCTCAGTACAACCTACAGAGGCCTGAGCAGAGCCAGCTTGGGCTGGGACTCAGAGAGACTCTTGTGTTTATTTCTGAGGTGGCATCTGGGAGGCCCATACTCTTGGATGCCCAGCTGCCTTTATGGAAGAAAGAATGCAAAGCTGAGGTAGGCAGAGGGCGCCCCAGTTGCTGGATCCATTGTAAGGAGCAGCTGGTCTCATCAGCACCATCACAGTCTTTGGAAGCTCCCAAATACCAACCTCTCATAGCCAGAGTTTGCCTTATGAGGACAAACTCTGGAATAAGAATTTGGGTTTGTTTCTGGGTTTGATCCTGGAAATCTCAGTCCAGATCTCATAAACCTCCTTTTGCCTGGAATTGTCAGATGTTTATTCTGTGACCCAGCCACATAAAATTTTGGTAGGGATAGACATATACACTAAATGAAAGACTGAGACATATCTCAGAACAGGTTGGCCAGAGTCAGGTCAGGAGCAAGTAAGCAGGAAAAAGTGAGTGGTACAACAGCACAGAAGCATCTACCCTTGCTTCCCCTCTAGGGCCCTGGAGTCTAGCACGTTAGGCTGCTTAAAGGGCAGAGACTGAAATGCCCCATAGGGCCTGGCTCCACGTTCCCAGCAGAGTGGAGAGAGAGGCTGTCAGCAGGTAAAAGCAGGTAGAGGAATTTTGGAGGGCAAAGGGAGTGAGTCCAGGAAGAGATTGCCTTGGAGCTGGGGCATGCAGTTATGTCAGCCTGCTGTACCAAAGGGGTGCTTTCCAGCTCATTAGCCAGTTCATAGCAGGGAAATAGGAACTCTGCGTGGTCTGTCAGGCAAGAATGGCAGAACAGATCCTGGAAACTCGGTGTTGTCCTGAGACAGGAAGATGGGGCAGGAAGCTTCCCAGAGAGTCTCATGTTGTAAGGAAAGGGATGTCATTGTGCCTTGATCTAGGCTCCCTTTGGAGACAGCACCTTCAAAAGGGGCCAATGGCAGGCCCCAGGTCCCAGCACTGAACCCAATTTTGCTTTATCCCACCATATCCTGGCCTGTCCCTTGGCCTACCCGGGCCAGAGACACATTTTTAGGGATTCAAATCTTTCCTGATCATTTATTTGTCAGCTTCACTAATTAAGCAGTGTTAATTTCATTTACTGAAAATGGAAATTCATCCACCTCATTTCTTCTTGTTCATCCTCCACACACAAAATCCATCATTCCTCAGCTGCAGGCTTCGTAAAATTTACAGGACTAATTATGTTGTCAGGTCTCTTTGCAAATACAGTCCATAAAGGCCACTGTGCTCACTGGGTTGTAGTGCAAGGGCATTCCTGTTGTTAGTTTAATTACTGGTTAGTTATTTAGGTTCTCAAATGTTTGCCTCATTTTCTCTAAATCAAATTAAACGTCCTGCTTCATGTATTCTAAGGCCTGCTCTTATTTCCCACACTGTGTAAACATGACTTCAAATCCAATGAGAATGCCTGGAAAAGCCTCCTTTCCTGGGGTCCTGAGCCCAGCTAGGGATTGGGCCTCTGAGCCATACTTGACATTTAGAACCCTCTAGTGACCAGTCCCTTGTCTCAGTCCAGCATTGTGCTGGTCCCCTGCCCTGAGAGTCTAAAAATTCTAACACAGGGGTATTTCTGTGTCTGGAGTCTAAGGTGGCAGGGCTGGAGTGTGGGAAACTCAAGGATGGTTTCATTATTGTCAACAGAAGAGCTGAGAATCATTGAATCCCCCTGACTTCTACTGATACTGTTTCCAATCCAGCCCAGAAAAAAGTGCCATTATGGAAACCTGTCTTTCCAACTCCTAAAAGTAGAGTCTGGGTCAACCTTCCCTGAATGCTTATGAATTCATTTCCTGCTGAACTGTGTGTAGCAAATGACCACAAACAGGGCTCAACACAACACAAATTTATTATCTTACAGTTCTAGAGGTCAGAAGTTCAAAATGGATTTCACTGGGCTAAAATCAGGTGTCAGCAGGACTATGTTCCTTCTGGAGGCTTGTGGGGGAGCACCTGTTTTCTTCTCTTTTCCAGATTCTAGAGGCTGCCCGAATTCCATGGCTCATGGCCTTCTTCCAGCCACCAACTGCATCACTCTGACATCTGTTTCTGTCGTCACATCTCATTTTCTTACTCTCTTGCCTCCTTCTTTCCCTTATAAGAACCCTTGTGATTACATTAAATCCACCCAGATAATCCAGGATAATCCTCCCATCTCAAAGTCTTTAACTTAATCACATCTCCAAAGTCCCTTTTGCCATGCAAAGTGACATATTTATAGGTTCTGGGGATTAGGATGTGGACATTTGGGGGGGGGCATTATTCTGCCTACCACACACCCCCTCCAAGTGCCTCTTGCATGACTTAATAAGGGAGTCATCAAGCAGCTGCTGCCTTGGAGCAGGTCCTGGGCTGGCCTCCTTTAGATTGCCACAGTACAAGAGGAAGCCTGCTGTCTGAGGCTGGCATGGTAACCTTATCTCTGCAGTTTGGCATCTACTTCCCACTGACCACTGACCTGGCTTTAGCCTCATGCCCCTAAATGCCCTCTGCCTGTCTTGCTCTCCCTGAATCCTGAGTAGGAGACCAGGGTTTTCCTGACAGCCAGAATATTCCAGAGTGTCCACCCACTTGAGTGGGTGTCCATGACACTAGAGTGTCCATGATCTAGAGCTGTTACCAGCTGGCCAGGGATGGAGTCATGGGCCTGTGGTTCCCATTTATGGTTGCCAGTTCAAAAAGACATTGATCCCTGTTCCTCAGTGGGCACTGTTCTGCCAGGGCTCCAGCAGAACTTTGGTCTGTGGTGGAATTAAGAAACATGGGGGGGCGCGGTGCTGAGGATATAGCATGTGTGAGTCCTTCTATTCAATCCCTAACACTATCAAAAAAAAATAAAAATAATTTTTTAAAAAGACACACACACACTAACAACTTTCCCTGAGAATAGCCACATTAGACTCTTTTCTAATTGATTTTGATTCCCTTCGTCCCAATCTTGTGTATGGTTGAAGGGCACAGTGAGAGGGGCCTTAATGATTATTCAGCAGGGCAGAGTTAGCAGGAGGAAATTCTGTCACCAGAAAGAGCAAGACTGCTGCAGAACAAGCCAGGATGTGCTGCCTCCATCCCTCATGGCAGGGTAAGGAAAAGACCTGCTCACAGATCCTGACTAGGGGTAGGGATTCACATAAGAGATAACCCTGGTGACTGAATAGTGTGGAAGGCCTCCCAGAGAAGGTCCTCATGGACTAGTAGACTCTTTCTAGACAATGTGGGAAAGAATACAAAGAAGATTAAGGAAGCAATAGGAGCAAAAGCACAAAGTAGTAGTAAGCGATAAGTCCCAGCCATCAACCCATCATATCCTCTCTGTCTCTTTCTCTGCCTCTCTCCCTCTTCCTCTCTCCATATATATATCACCTTTTCTCTCCTTCCATTCTACTCAGCCATAAATACTTACTTTCAGTAAGTTTTTGCGGCCTGGCCAAAATGTATGGCCTGACAGAGCCTAGAATTCCTTTACTGCTCCAGACTTGAGTCTCTGCTTCTTTATACAATGAAAGGTGGGTTGGGGGGCTCTAATCTGGGTCATTGAACCCTCTATCCTTTCTCTAGAGTCTGTGCCACTCAGAACAAGGTACTCCATAGACTAGGACCCAAGCTTTGATTCTTTTTTTTTTTTTGTACCAGGGATCGAACTCGGGTCCTTGCACTTACGCAGCAGGCGGCAAACCCACTGAGCTAAATCCTCAGCCCCCAAGCTTTGGTTCTTGATAAACTCAGACCTCATTGGTAACCAAGGCACTGTAGGTGGATGACCTTGATGCTAATGTCATAGTGAGACTGTCAGTGACCTAGTTGGTGATATCATACTGAGAATATTGGATGGCTGAGCTAAGTGCTCTGTTGGTAATAACATACTACCAATAATGGGCAATGATGTCATGAGTGATGACATCAGATGAGGACCATTGGTGGTTTGAGTAGTGATATCATATAAGCACTTTTGGAAGATAAGATGATGCTTTTATTTGGGTCTGTTGGAGGGTTGGGCTGTGTCTTTTTTTTTTGGTACCAGGGATTGAACTCAGGTCCTTGGCTTGCGCAGCAGGGCAAAACCACTGAGCTAAATCCCTGGCCCCTAGGGCTGTGTCTTGTTTACTTCTCTTGTCACTGAGACAAAATACCCAACACCCAAAGTTAAAGAAGGAAGGGTTTGTTTAGCTCACAGTGTGTAGAGGTTACAACTATGAACTCATAGTTGGCTGGCTCCACAGGAGGGTGCCCCGCCAGAGGGTCACTGCAGAGGAGAAACAGTTTGTGGTGGGCAGAAGGCAGCAAAGCAGCAAAGTAGAGAAGCAGCAGCAGTAGTCTGCCTCTCCCCTTTATCCCTTCCAGGCTACTCACCCTTTGGGTGGTGCCACCCACACCCAGGGTGGCCCTCCCATTATCCACACCCAGAACTATGCCAAACCAATCAATAGACTAATTTATTGATCACACACCCTTAATCTCAGCATCACACTGTAGATCCAGCCACCTCTGAAAAGCCCCACCCATGAGCTCATGAGGCTTGGGGGGGGCATCTAGACACAAACCATAACAGGCTATGATGTCATATTGGGTATGTCTGGGGAATAGAATCGTGAGGTCTCAGAGGAGCTACTGGAATCAAAGGTGAGTTCATTGTACAAGGTAGAGTTGAGAAAAAACACCAATTAAATGAGGTTTTGCTATATTTTCCTGGAGTAGTTTGTCAGAAAGAGCCCTGCATTAGAATTCAGGAATCATATAGTCTAGTCATGACTAGAAACAATGATCTTTATGTCAAAGAGGACTGAGCTAGGTGTGGTGGTACACACCTGTAATGTCAGCACTCAGGAGCCTGAGGCAGGTGGATTGCCATGAGTTCAAAGCCTGGAGTACTTAGTGAGTTCAAGGCCAGCTTGAACTGAATAATATGACCCTGTCTCAACAAAACAAAACAAACAAAAAAAAAGAGGACTCATTTGGTTACAAGTAATAAAGACCATTAAAGCCAGGTTGAGAAAGTAGGGGTTAATGTCAGCATGCATGTGGCCTGAGAATTGATGTGGCTGGTTGCTAACTATCCCTCTCTCATAAAATTCATGCTTTCCCTTGCAGTTTATTCCCCGTTATCATGCTTAACTGCCCTATTCCTTACACATTCTCTATTCCAGACCCTGAAGGGATTGGATTGACTTTGCCAGTAACCCCCCCCCCCATTAGGTCTGATGGCACCTTGTCCTCCTTTCTCCACTTCCATGTAAAGACCAGATTACTAGAGCAGGATAATTTCAGCTATAAAAAGGATATTGAGGGCTGGGGATTTAACTCAGTCGTGATGCTGCCTGCCTTGGAAGCCCAAGGTCCCAAGTTCAATCCCCGGTACAAAAAAAAAAAAAAAAAGCATGTGAATCCTCAGCTTGAGCACCCATTCCTTCACTGTCTTATTTACCCACTTATCTGCTGCCCTACCAATTTACCCTCTGTCAGTCTTGACCAGAATGGAGGAGAGACTGGAATCATGAGCACCAGTGGCTTACTTCTGGCCTGAAGGTTAGCTCATTGATTACTCATTCAGCTGCAGGATCCAGGGAGTGGAATGTCTCTGACCTTGCAGGGGGCAGCCCAGGGGGTTCCAGATCAGGTGCTCAGGATTTACTTGATGAACAAAAGGAGCTAAGATATTGTCACACTCTTCAGTTCAAGGCCTTCCTGTTTTAGGAAGGGAAAGCACTCTCCTCAGCCAGCTGCCAATCTTTCTTTGAGAGTCAACCCTTGGGGCCCACATGCCAGCTCCTCCCCATCTATCTCAAGGCTAGCCCCCTCCTGGCTTTGGAATGGAGCCAGGCACAGGATGACCCAGCTTTGGCTCCAGGGGATCTGGAAGCCTCAAGCTCCTCCTCTTTGCTAGGAGGCTCACTCTCCCAGAGCAGAGGTTTTGTTTTTTTTTTTCTTGAACCACACAGTGTGTGCTAATCTGGACCCTGGAAACTTCCACCCCAGGTACAACTCCCTCATTGATTGTGTAGCTATCATAGTTACTTTCTCATTTCTGGTACAAAATACCCAACACCCACAAGTTAAAAGAGGAAAGATTTATTTTAGCTTACTTACAGTTGATAGAGGTTTCAGTTCGTAGTTGGATGGCTCCAAGGCAGGGTGGCGTGACAGAAGAAAAACAGTTCATGGCATGGCAGGCAGGAAACAGCAGCCTTCCTTTTTCTTTCCCTTTTTATTCCATTCAGGCTGCAAGTCTATTGATTGGTGTCACACCCAGGGTGGATCTCCCTTTTTCAGTAAATCCATCACCCACACCCAGAACCATGCTAAACCAACAAGTAGACTGACTGATCCACTATCACACACCCATGATCCAATCACTACAAAAATCCCTACCTATGAGTGAATAAGGTTTGGGGGACATCTAAATACAAGCCATAGGTGACTTTCCTTGAAAGTGATCCAAGGAGTCTCAGAGGTGTTGAAGGTTAGCCCCAGAAAGGGAAGAAGGTAGGCTTCCCACAGAGAGCTACTCTAGTGAACATGCCGGCTTGCCTCAGCTTCCAGTTGTACCTTTCTAAGGCCAGCCTGATTCTTGGTGGCTTCCTGCTCCCAGTCAGAGCACAGATGGGTCTTTGCAGAGGGTGGGGCTACTTGGGATGTGATTGTAGCTGAGCTCATGCTATGAGCCCAGAGTTCACCTGCACATTTACACTCTTGAATAAGGGACAACCTTAGAAATAAGACAGAAAAGCTCAACAAAACCAGCCAAGTTGGGGTTGCTTTCCTGTCCCCCACCCCACCCCATGGGCTGCACATCTGAAGACTGCTTACTTTGTCATGAGATTCCAGGCCCTGCAGCTTCTAGGGACAAAGAAGATAGCCTTATAAAAGGGAAGGTGGCAAGGATTCTCATCATTGACCAAAAGGCTATGTTGGCTTTGGTTGCCTTGGCCAAAGGCTACACTAGCCTTCTACCTCTCCAGCTCTGGCTTTTCTGAATTTGGGGAAGAGGATGGGGGGTCTGGGCTGGTAGCAGGAGAACTGGTCTCAAAGGCTGGAACTATGTGCTTTTCAATGACTACGTATCAGGATGGGCACCAAGTATGTGAAAATTGAGACAGAGACTCATTCTCTTGACATGGGGCAGGTGAGAAAGAGGAGTTCTGCTGAATGGTTCATTGTTGACCATCAAAAGCTCTGTCCAGGGTGAGTGGGCTTGTGGAAGCCTGACTGGCTGGCCAGGGACTTCCGGGTTTAAGGAGTCGGAGTCCAGGCTGCAGCTGGGGACTGTGGGGCCCAAAGGCATGGGAAGATGCTCATAGATAACTAGCATAGGACTCACTATAGAAAATTGCATGTTACATCAAGCTTAGCGCATGTCCTTGGTGGAAGATTGAGGGGACATGAGCATTGTCCAGGCATCTATGGGACAAGCAGCCTGTCTGTGAGCTGGGCATCCAATCCATCTTGGGCTACTGCTCCTTCTCAAGTCCACACATGTTCTTTATTTAGCAACTCTTTGAACCTGTGTTCCCCTTTTCTGTGATCCAGAGAGGAAGATTAAGGAGGATGTTGGTTTGTCCGTAGATAAGCCTGGTCACATTTTCTGGTTGTTTGATCCTTCTGTGAGCCCTGAGAAGGAGTAGGCCAAATCTCATTATTCCATTTCACAGTCTGAGAAGATGAAGTCCAGACAGGAATTCCATTCTCTCTGACAGGCAGAACAGAGCAAAGTTTGCCCATCTGGTGGGATAGGGCAAGGGGGCCTCCCTGGCAGAGCAGAGGGATCCTCCAACCACAGCCTCCTGTCTTCCCTGGTAGATGACTTCATGAAACAGAGCCGGGGAATGCTGCTGCTCTACAGCTTGAAGAACCCCAGCTTCCCTGAATACATCTTCAGCAGTGACAGTGGCATCATGTGTCTCGACATACATGTGGACCATCCCTACCTGGTGGTGGTGGGCCACTATGACGGCAACGTGGCCGTTTACAACCTCAAGAAACCCCATTCCCAGCCTTCCTTCCGCAGCTCGGCCAAGTCTGGCAAGCACACGGACCCTGTTTGGCAGGTCAGCCTCAGCACATGGGAGCAGCATGTGGGCCTAGGAGCCAGTGGAGGAGGGACCCTGGGGAGGAGAGGGCCACTGGCTAGGGTGGAGATGATAGGTACCAGATTAGAGGCCAAGGATCTGGTTATGAGAAGGGGTGGAGGAGGGCAGGTGAGAATCAGAGGGTATGAAGAGGGTCTTCAGTAAAACCTGGGTCTTCTGCCCCTGAGCTCTCATCTGCCTGGAAGTTAGGAAGATTCCATCTGCCTGCTGAGGGAGGAGCTCCTTAATGCTCAGTCAGAAACTCCCCTGCAGTTGGAAGCCTCCGGGGTCTGACACGCTACCGCTGACCGTGTTAGGGGCCCCAGAGCCTTATCTACAGGCTTTCTGCCTATAGAGCCCCTCTGCCATCTGGGCTACATTTGGGGAAGCTTCCAGACAGGGGCTTGAAGGCAAAGTCTGTCCTTGAGCCTCTTTGTAACACCCTACTTTTCCAGATAGGCTAGCGGGGTGGGCTGGGCTTCTTCCATAGTGTGAGGCCAGCCTGGGACCATTTCCAGGACACTGGCACTAGATATCACTTTGGTTCTGTGTCTCCCATCTTATTCCACTGGAAGTAGGTTTCACAGCTGATGCTCCCAGAGGGTCTCTTGGCTCAGGCTTTGTAGGCTGTTCCTTACTATCTCCTAAAGGTGTATGTGTGGTGGGGGGATCTGTGTGAATCTAAGGATGAATTTCTGCCTCACGTTTCCCAAATCTCTGGGCTCATGAAGCAGCACTGGGGCCCTGTCTTCTTGTCTTTCTCTATCCTCTTGCCCTGATAGTCCCCAGGAAGACTCTGTCTACCTCTTCTGGTCCTCAGCCCCTGAGACATATGGCCACCTGCTCCAGCACTGAGTCTGAGCTCCTATACAGGCCTGAGCAGGGGCAGAACCACCTAGGCACAGGGCACATCATGCCCTCTCAGCTTCATCCTTTTCCCATTGTCTGGGACAGATGTGGGAGAGAGGTGGAACCCTTTCTGATACTTACCTCTCCCCGCCAACACTCTCCACAAAGCAGGGACCAAAGGGTGCAGCCTCAGAAGTCCTCTCCACCAAAAAGTCTACCTCCCAACTCATTACCTCCAGGTACCTGCAGGTCCCCAGACGTCAGAAGAAGGTCTGTAGAGACTTTAAAGCCCAGGGAGAGGAGAGCAGGCCTCCATCTCATCCCTGCCCCTGCTTTCCCAGCTCAGATAGCCCAGGGCCAAGGGCAGAGCCTGTCTAGATGTCTTGACCATCATTATCAACTCCAGGAGAGGGAGAGAGGCCCAGACCAACCACCCTACTCCTACTCTTGAGTTTTCTTAATCAAATAGCAGACTGGGGGGAAAGGGATACAGAGAAAAATGAGTTATCTGTTTCACCGGACAGGTCCCAGGAAGAGTGAAATTCACCTGGACAGGGTTGGCCTACTCTCCCACTATCCTGCCAGAAAAACAGAACTGCCTTTGCAAAATAGAAGACTCAGCATTCTTGGCTGGAGTCATGGGACACTACCTGAAAGAGACCCGGCTATCACTTACTCATCTACTCACTTCCTGTTCTCTTCTTTCCTCTCATTCCCCCTCTCTCCTCCTTCTTCATCCATTTTGTAACTAATTCTTCCCTGTTTGCTCTGCTGGTTGCTGAGGATCCCTAAGGGCTTATTCTTTGGAGTTCCAAGTGGCAAGATAAACCACAGGTTGCCCAGGGTAGGGTAGAATGCTAAGTGCTAAAGTAGAAGTACACATGAAGGTGCATTCACATTATCCTGGGTGGGGACTAGGAGGAGGACCAGGCAGATCTTTCTAGAGGAGCCATGCCTGAGCCATATTGTGAGAGATGAAAAAGTGTTAGTTAGATGGAGAAGGGCATAAAAGGAGTCTCATCTACAATGACATGAGGCTTCAAACAGAGTGGCCTGTTGGGAAATGAAGCATCATTCAGAGCATGTGTAAGGGACAGATGAAGAGGAGCAAGACCCAAGGAAAGGGCAGGCACCCAGCATGGTTAGCAGTTGAAAAGCTTGGACATTGTAGATCAGTGGTTTTAAAAGAAGTATTAATACAGGAGCACAATATGGTAAGAAGATGAGAATAGAGCTGCTCTGATAAGACCAGGGCCCTGCCTATTTAAGGGTCCCCTGTTATTATTCCTCCTGTCCCCTGAGGTACATTCCCAAGGCTCCTAACATTTCCCCTGAGCATAGTTTGGAGATTGCAGCCCAATCATTAGAGGGCTTGAGCAGAGGAGTAACAGTCAAGATTGTGTCTTGGAGGAAAGACCCTCTGGCTTCAGCATGAGAGATACTGCAGGCTGAACAAGGGCAGGGGGAGTAGAGATGGAAATGAGGAAAATAGGGAGGAGACCTGTTGGGGTAGTAGAATCAAGAGAAAAATATTGGGTGGATATAGGAAAGGGACAAATCGATGTTACCAGGGTTTAGGATGCCCAGTAAGGCATGCATAGAAGTGGAAAATGGCAGAGGAACAGGTGTCACCAGATGTTAATGCAAGAAGCTTAGGGACACCAAGAGGGAGGGTTTTGGACACTTGACCATAAAGCCTAGAGCTTGAAGGAGAGAGCTGGCCTGGTGAATGAGCTGTCAGGTCCTTCATAAAGGGTGTGTGTCCAGGTATTTAGGGGAGACCAGAGAGGTTGTTTTGGACCTCGTATGCAGTTTGGGGCAGAAATTGTCTGTCCCATTGGGAATGGGGAACCATGAATTGTCTTGTTTTAAGAACACTAGGTTCCTGCCCATAGAATGGGCTACTTCTCCAGGGAGGCTCCTGGGTAGCTCAGGCCTGCCTCAGGCCCTACTGTGAAGCCTCAACCAGCAGTACTCTGTAGGAAATGTGCACAGTGCAATTCTGGGGAAAGGAGCAGAAAGGATGTATGAGTAAAAAGTAGGGACAGGCAAAGAGGAGAAAGGAGAAGAGGAGGGATCAGTTAAGCAGGTTCCTCTCTACCCCCTGGTCCTTGGGCATTCATTCATTGCCTTAACTCTACTTACTACCCTCCTTCTGCTTTATTCCTACCTGTCACCTCCACTTAAGGAGCGCGTGCACACACACACACACACACACACACACACACGGTCACTTGCAAATACATGCCACCCCTTATTGGGCATCAGGCTACTAAGTGGGGTGTGAAATATAATTTCCATGAGTGCTGGCATCTGCTCATTAAACACTTCCCTTTGCAGCTCCCTAGCGCCTCTTACAGCCTGGCCTTTGACACCCCTTGTTCCTGCCCTGCTTTAAAGGGACCACCTTTACCCAAAAGGAGAAGTGGGCTCTGTATCAGGGCAGGGTTTTGCCTTGTGCCTGACAGGCTCTGCAGCTTCTGGCCCCCCAGTGAAAGTGCAAAAGAAGCACTGACCAGACAGGCTCAGGCAGGACTCAGCCCGGCCTCCTTTGGCTCTGATCTGCCAGGCCTGGGAGATGGTTGGGAAGGGACAACCCTTTCTCCCCACCCCCCAACATCCCTGGTGACAGCTGCGGTTACAGGCAACAGCGCTAGGGTCTTGGCCTTCTTCACTGGGCCTCTGCTTGTGACAGGCGGAGGGGACTGGTCCATGGTCCCAGCATGGGCGGTCTGGAGGGAGCCAGAAGATGGAAATCTTTAGGCACCCAGCCCCACCCTGGCTCTCTGGGACTTGGCTTGGCCAGACCTCCACATCTGGCAAGAGAAATTTGAGCCTCAAGTGTGTCATCTTCATAAGACAACAGCTCTGTCTCCAAAACACTTTCCCATATGTTTGCTTCCAGCCCTGAGAAGATGGGTGGAGCAAGATAATTAACACTGATTTGCAGATGGAGAAATGCAGCTCAAATCTGGAATTTGGGAGCAAGATTCTGGGAGCAGGAGTTAGTGGAGATGTGAAGATGGGATCAGAGGAGCCACTTTCTAGAGAAAGGCAAAGCCTGGAAGAGGAGGGGACTGGAGGGGAGGGTATGCTCCTCCCCTTCCTCACCTAATCCTAAGCAAGCAGGAAAAAGGTCCCTGCAGAAGCTTGGCACTCACATTCCTAGGATAAGTGTAATAATGAGGACATCAGCTATCATTTATTGAATACTTAGTGTGTGCAATGTTCTGATCTAAGGGCTTTACATATCTCATTTATTCCTCACAACAAGCCTATGCTACAAAATGGAAGTTGGGGGGCGGGGATTTAGCTCAGTGGTTTCGCCGTGTGCTGTGCAAGTGCAAGGACCCGAGTTCAATCCCCGGTTGAAAGAAAAAAAAAAAAAAAATGGAAGTTGGTTGTTGGGCCTTGTCCTTTCCAGGCCATGTCTATGTAAGGAGGTTGAACCTTGAACCATTGCCTATTTCCCACAACTAGGCTTCTAGAAGCAACCCAAGGAAGAACTGGGTCTACTGCCAACCCAGTAGATTAGGGCAATGACCTGACTGGTGCTGTTGCTTGGGGTTGGTCAGAGAAACAGGGATAAGACAGAGAGCAATGGATGGGGGAGGGTGTCAGTCATGGGATTCTGGGAAGTGGGCTCTCAGAACTTGCTTGGGGAGATGGGCGCTTGGGGGAGCCCTGTTTCATATCCCTAGCAGTGTCACAGAGCTCCTGGTTTGGATGTTTCAGGTCAAGTGGCAGAAGGATGACATGGACCACAATCTTAACTTCTTCTCTGTGTCATCTGATGGAAGGATAGTGTCTTGGACACTTGTGAAGGTAACTGTTTCCCAGAGAGGGTTGCACAGGGGTGGATGGAGAGTGGGGGGAGCTGAATGGCAAAGGGCACCCCCTAGATCTGCTGATCCAGCGTAACCCATACACTTTCCTCATCCTCTGTGATGACAGAGTGAGCTGGTTCACACAGATGTCATCAAGCTAAAGGTGGAAGGAAGCACCACAGAAGTTTCAGAGGGGTTGGAGCTGCACACAGTGGGTAGGAGCCCCAGCCCATTCACCTCCAACCCTCACTAGGTCATTCAAGTCCCCTGAGGGGCAATGAGGTGGCATCTTCCCAGTACTTCCTACCCTACTTGTGCTGAAGCCCAGACCAGAGGCAGTGGGAAAGCCTGACCTGTCAGCTAAGTCCTTGGCCATTTGCAGACACTCTCTGTTCATGCAGGTCCCCTCTTTGTTTGCAGACCCTGCTCTTGTTTATGCAGATCAGGTGCTGTAATGTAGATCCATCCCTGTTTATGCAGATGAAAGCCCTGTTTACTCAGATCCTATCCCTGTTTACTCAATTCCTACCCTGTTTATGCAGACTATATCCCTGTTTGCACAGACCATGTCCCTGTTTGCAGACCCTGTCCCTGTTTACCTTGACCCTGACCCTGTTTAACTCAATCCCTGCCTTGTTTACCCAGGCCCCTATTCCTGTCTACAGGACTCCTGGCTGTTTGAAGAGTCCTAACAGCTTGGGACAAGAAGGCCAGAGGGCCAGTTTCTGTTTGCCTAGGCTGCTCCCAGCCCTCATAGGGGCCCCAGGTCAATCTGCCCTGGCTGAGTCCCCGCTGCCAAGGAGGGGTGGTACTTGGAGGCTCCCTCTCAGAACTGGGCTGAGGCTGTTTCCTCTTCTTTCAAGGCTGTGGCACTGCCTTTGACTTCCACAAAGAGATCGACTACATGTTCCTAGTGGGCACAGAGGAGGGAAAAATCTACAAGGTGAAGCAGCACCGCCCACATCAGCTCCTCATTGGGCCACTTGGACCTGAGCACTTGGGGAGCTTAAAGTACTTAACAAATCCTGTTCTGACAGATCTTAGTGCTCATCAGTTCTGCAAGGCTTCTTGGGTGAAGAGAATGCATTTTTTATTCTGCTTGGGTGGCAGGAAAAGATTCAGTGCAGGAAAGGGGATGGAGAATCTAGAGGGTGACTTTAGCCCAGCCCAACCTCTTTCCCTCTGGGATGTCTCTCCTTTCTAGGGAGTGTTGGCAGAGGTGGGAATAGGGACAGAGGGAGTTGGAAAATTCTAGGCAAACTTCCTGGAGGAGATCTGAACTGAAGGGGGGCTTTGAAGGTCAGATAACAAGCAGATTGATCTCTGAATACTGGGTGCATCCCCGCCGGCAGGACACAACCAGTTTCTGCACTGTCTGTGTTAGTAGGTGAACATCCCTCTGAACCTCCATCTGTCCAGAAATAGCTCTGCTGCAAGCTTTTCTTACGCTCAGAGACTCAGAATGTTAATTACAGACAGCCTCCCGGGAGCCCCTGAGGCCTAGCCAGAGCTGGTCTGAATGCAAAAGAGTCCCCACCCCCTCTCCACCCCTCCCATTGGCAGCCTGGGAGCCACAAGAAGGGAGAGACAGTCAGTCACTGTGACTCCTAGAGAAAGGGAGAAAGAGGCTGGCAGGTCAGGGCAATAAACAGGAGGAGAAATCTGGGGATCAGAATGGGCTCCTGACTGGGCACCTGCTCTTACCTGTTCAAGGTAGAATGTTTCTCACTGCTGCAAAGATGCTATCTGGGCTGCCCACAGGCCCTGGCTAGGTTTCACCTTGCTCAGAGCCTGAGACCTGCTCTGCTTGGGGAGAATAGGATTTTTCTGACTGATCTGGAATCCCCTGGGGGTCAGCCACAGGGCAGACTGCAGCACTTCTTGCATGCTACAAAAGGACATCCCTGCATGGCCCATATCCGAAGCTCCTAAGTCCTTTCTCCCTGGGTGTGTGTAGAGTGGGAAAACAGTCAGCAAGTTGGCCCCAACTCAGCTATGACAGTGATGTGGGTTATGGACAGAAGGGGAGGCTCAGATTCTGACCTTCAAGGGCTCTAAGGAAGTAGTAGCAGCTGACTTTCCTCTTGTTGTTGTCCCCTGATCTCCCTCTACCGGCCCCATCACTGCCCCAGTGCTCTAAATCTTACTCTAGCCAATTCCTTGACACCTATGATGCGCACAACATGGCAGTAGATGCTGTGACCTGGAACCCGTACCACACCAAGGTCTTCATGTCCTGCAGCTCCGACTGGACAGTGAAGATCTGGGACCACACCATCAAGTGAGGGGCCTGCCTTACCCTGGACCCTCCCCTGGGGTCTGGCACTGTCAGCTTTGTGTCATGGGCTTCACCCTTCCACCACTGCAGGACCCCCATGTTCATCTATGACCTGAACTCAGCTGTGGGTGATGTGTCCTGGGCACCATACTCCTCCACTGTGTTTGCAGCAGTCACCACAGATGGGAAGGTGAGTGGCCCATTCCTGACCCCATATACCCCCTACTGATGACAGGATGAGGTATCTCAGGGTTTCCCTCTTCAAGAGCCAGGCCATCCAGGGCCCAGCCAAAAGAGGAATCATTCATCACAGGAGGCCTCAAGGAGAGAATGGGACTGTTCATCTCACATTGAAGGATGATATGCCATCTTCTCTGAGGCCTCTGGAGAGGGAGCTACCAGGTGTCAGGGGCAGCCCCAGCTAAAGGAAACATATGAGCCAGAACTGATCTGTCTGTGTCTGTAAGGTAGAGAGGTCCCCATCTCTGGAAGTTTGCAAGCTGATTCTGAGAAGGGTCTTCAGTGGAGTGAGATGGGAGGGGTCTATTCAACACTGAGGATTAGTGAAAGCTCAGAAACATTTTTTGAGCATATTCTTAGATGCAAATCTGTTTTCCTTATGGACTTTAATATAGACTGACATGTACCTGCTGCCACACAGGAAGAATGTTGTGATTAAGACATCACCCTAAAGTCAGTCAGTCATCTATTCCCTGAACAGATGTTTACTAAGAGCCAACTGTGGTGCTCAGCTCCATAGATTCAGACACCTGCTTTTATGAAGCTTACCTTATAGTGAAGGGAGAAAGAGACAAAAAGCAAAAGTACCAAAATGCTCATACTGTTAAGGGCAGAGAATTAAAAGAAGATGGTGTATGAATGCAAATGTTTATTACAGCAGGATTATTCATCCTAGCCAAAAAATGAAACAACCAAATGTCCATTAACTGATGAATGGACATAGAAAATATACTGTATATTCCAAAGGATTTTATTCAGCAATGACAAGGAATAGTATTCTGATACACACTACAACACCAATGAGCCTTGAAAACCACACTAAAGTAAGCCAGACACAAACAGACAAATATTGTATGATCCCATTTATATGGTATGTCCAAAATATATTTGCCTAGTATGCCTAGAATATAGTATAGTATTCTAAAATATGAAAATCTATAGACACGGAAAGTAGATTTGTGGTTGCCTAGAGTTAGAAAGGTTGGAGGAAAATGTGACTGCTATTGAATACAAAGATTGTTTTAGGGGCACTGAAAATATTCTCAAATTGGTTATGATGATGGTTGCATAACTGTGAATATACTAAAAACTAAGAATTGTATTCTTTAAATGGATAAATTTTATAGCATGTGAATTAAATCTCAATGAAGCTGATAAAAGAGAAGAAAAGGATTGGGTGGTTTCTTAGAGTGGTCAGGAAAGGCTTCTCTGAAGAGGTGATATTCAAGCTAAGAGCTGACTGACAGGGAGCCAGCCGTGGGAAGATGGACAAGGGGAGCCATCCACATTGAGAAATCACTGGATCAAACACCCTGAGGTGGGGATGAGCTTGAGGAGGGGTCCAGGAACTGGAAGGCAAATGTGGCCGTGGTGTAGTGAGCAAGAGGAGATCTGGAAATGAGAGAGAGAAGGTGGGTGCCAGAATAAGGAATCCAGATTTCATTTTATAATGCCAAGGAGACTTTGCGAAGATTTTACGTTTTTTAAAGGGAAATCTGGCTGCTCCATGGATGATGGACTGCGGAAGCCCAATAGTGGAAGCAGGAAGCCTAGTTAGGAGGCTGCCACAGTTATCAAGGCAAGAGTTGGGAGTGCTTTGAACTTGCAGTGTGGCAAAGATAACATCAAACATTTATTGAGCACTTGTATCTCAAGCACTGTCTAAACACTTCACATCTATTAACTGGGATAAACCCTGGCTCTGCTGCTTATTAAAAAGTTAGAACTTCAAAGTCTTAATTTATAAAATAGAGGTAATACTAAAAGAACCACCTTACAAATAAGGAGTATAATTAGATGGTGCAAGCTTGGTACATAGTAAAGTATATTAGACTAAACAAGTGGTAGCTGGTATTGTTTTTGCATAGACTTAATATTTCTCCTAAACTTTTATTCTCACTCCCTCAACCAAAATAAAACATAAACAGAGAAACAAAATTCCCTCTCCTGCTGCCTCCAGCTCTAGTGTGCTATTAGCCTGGTTCCTGTGAGGTGGTAGCGAGGGGCCTTATTACCCCTGAACATACTGACACTGGTTTTTCCATAGGCCCATGTGTTTGACTTGGCCATCAACAAGTATGAGGCCATCTGCAACCAGCCCGTGGTAGCCAAAAAGAAAAATAAGATCACCCATGTGCAGTTCAACCCCATTTATCCCATCATCATTGTGGGTGATGACCGTGGGCACATCACCTGCCTCAAGCTCTCGCCCAACCTGCGCAAGATGCCAAAGGTATGAGTTCTAGGAGTTGGGGCTGGTGCAGAGATAAGGGGATGGCAGGGATAAGCTAAAGGGGACGAGTCAGGGCTGAACCCAGGCTTCTGGCTTGGAGGACCCAGGGTGAAGACAGTGTTACTGCATGAATGAGGACCATAGGAGAAACAGGTTGGTGAGGAAAAAGAGGTCAGTTTTGACATGCTGCATCTTAGTTACCTCTGGGGCCCTGGGAAGAGATAACCAGTGAGCATGTGGGTCTGAAGCCAGGGGGAGGCATGAGTGAGGGTATCAATGGCTCACAGGATGCCTTGGGTGTGACGGGCCAGCCTGGCAGAGAACTTGAGACTTAGCCAATGCTTCATCACTGGGCTACCTCAGAGCTTTAGTCCAAATGGTCCCTGAGCTAGGAACTGTACTCAGGGAAGGAGGAAATGAGCTATGAGGAGGCTACCTAGGTCAGCAGCTACATAGTCCTTCTTTTGAGCTCTGACTCTGCTTCTGGGTTCTCTACTTGTCAAGGAACCCTGCTCAGAGCCCAAGGGCCCCAAATATAGGCTACAGAGCTCAGAGTCATGACCTCAGTGTAGACCTGAGTCCAAATTCAGACTTAAGAACCCAGACTTCTAAGCCCAGGTCTTAGAATCCAGAGCCCCAGGACCCAACTTAAAAAGTCAAAGCCCAAGAACCTGAAGACCAGTCTTGCCCATTTGTGTATGAAGAATGAAAAATGGTTCTTTGCTTTCTGACAGGTTCTGGGCCAGGATCAGGGTTGGGCCAGGATCAGGGTTGAGCCAGTTTGTCCTGATAACTGTACCTCCTGGTTGCAGTTTATGGCATTAATGCAGTTTGAGGCAGGAGCAGAAGCTTGTCTCTTTTAGCTACTGATTTCTTGCTACTATTCCCTCACCTAGGCAAGGATCATTTGTAGCATCCCTCCAGTGCTGACTTGGTCTATCCCTCACCATGGCTTGGGGGAAAGGGCTGGGAGTTTGGCTGGGCCTGTAATTGTAGCCAGCTGGGGGGAGGGGGGGTTGACTTGGCTATAAATATTCTGAAGGCTGCTAAGCGCCTGCAGCTGTGGCCCAGAGGCTGTGGTGGGCTTTGGGGGGGGGGGGCGGGGTGTCGGGCGTGGTATGAATCTCTTTGTTGAGATCCAGCTAGTTGGCCTCAGGAGGGGGAATGAGGCAGCACTGTTTGTTTGTGGAACAGATAAAATCTGTTCTTAATTTAATGAGAAGAAAGAAGGGCAGACTTAAACTGGCAGAGCTGGACAGTCCTCTGGGAGAATGATGGTCACTCTTTGGGGGAAAAGCACAGCCATGACACCATAAGAATGGTAGATACAGGTGGGAGCCCTATCCACTCTGATTTGAGGAGACAAGAATTTTCCAATTCCAACTCCTCAAAGAGCAAGGATCAGCCATGACTGGGAATGCTAGGCTGTGTATTTGGGGACTTATATCTCTGAGGATCTAAGCAGGGGACAGCTAGGGGCTGGGACTTGGGTGGATTAGAGATTCCTGTGAAATTTACATCTGACCCTATCAGCAGCCAAGTGATTCATACAAAAGCAAGTCCTCTGGGCATCCTTGTTGCCCTTCCCAGAGGGTTTACCACAAAGGCCTGGGCATCCTTGCTCAGGGACCTTCCTGTGATTGCTGTCAGGCATCAAGGACTATCTTTCTCTAACTACTGTACAGATGGGAAACTGAAGTTCAGAAAGCCAAGGGACAGCCAGGTATGGTGGCACATGCCCAAAATCCTAGCACTTGGGAGCTGAGGCAGGACTAGCAGCCACCCAGGACTACATAGTGAGTTCAAGGCCAGCGTGAACTACATAACGAGACCCCGTCTCAAAAAAAATGGCAAGGGACTTGTCCAAAGTCATATAGGAAGTTAATGACAGCTGAAACTAAAACCCAGGTCCAAGCCAGGCATGATAGTAATGCCTGTAATCCCAGCACTCTGGGAGGCTGAAGCAGAAGAATCCCAAGTTTGCACTCAGCCTGGGCAACTCAGTGACTTAGCAAGAACCCATCTCAAAAGGGTAAGGGATTTAGCTCAGTGGTTTCGCCACCTGCTGCCCAAGTGCAAGGACTCAAGTTCGATCCCTGGTACAAAAAAACCAAAAAAAAAAAAAAAAAACCCATCTCAAAATTTAAAAAAAGGGCAGGGGGTGCAGCTCAGGGTAAAGGCCTTGAGCTCACTTCCCAGTGTGAAAAACAGGACCTTCCCCCAATAAAAGGGGTCCCTAAATCCCAGGGATGGGGGTGAGCCCAACATATCCTTAGCTTAATTCAGGAGGTAGAGTGGGAAGAAAGAAAATGATCTCTTTGTCTTCTGCCTCAAGAGTATAAAGGTGAGCTGGGTAATGACTAAGGCCCTGGGCTGTGAGGGGCTGGAGGAAGAGAGATTTGGGAGCAGGTGCCAGAGGAAATTTGAGTTGTGCAAGGTATCAGCACCCAGGATGGAGTCAGGAAGGGGCCTCCTGTACCTGCAGACTCTCCCCTTATTTACAGCTCAGGCCAGACCTAGGCAGGCAGGCAAGGCTGGGGTATGTGCCAGTGAGCACTGGACATAGGTGGCTGAGTGGGTAGAGGTCTAGGAGCCAAGGGAAGGTGGGAAATGGCAGCTGCCCTGCCTACCCTAGCAAAGCTCACTGCCTGGGCAGTAGGGTGAATGCAACTGGTGTGGTCTGCCAAGGAGTTCTCTAGCGCTATGACACTCCAGTGTCCGGGTTCCTTTTTCTCAGGGCCCAACTTAGCAGTAGAAGCATTAGAATGTTTTGTCAGTAGGCTGAGAGTCATAAACTCAGGATCTTCTCTTCTGAGGGACAGTCCCAGCCAATGACATCTAGAGTCAGATGGGATATTCCATCTTGTTTCAGGGGTCTCCTGGGTATGTCTGACACAGCAGGTCTGGGCTCCAAATCATATCCCACCTCGAACCTGACCTGAAAGCATTCAGTAAGAGAACCAGATGAGGGTCCCCGCGGCCTTGTCTACGCCTCTCTGCCCCTTCGAAACATACCAAGGAGCTCTTTGATAGGATTCTGCCCTTCCCTAGAAAGGGTGGTCCTGTCAGGGCCTGCTCCTCCCCAGAGCTTCCTGTACAGCTCTCCTGGCCTGAGAGGCTCGTTCCTCTGAGGGTCAGAGAATGGGTGCCTTTTCCCACTCCTGCCACCAGCAAGACACTGTCCAACTGAGGTTCAGAACCAAAGCAGGTTACCTTCTTTAGGCTCTCAGCTGGTCCCTGGGTCACCTGACCTTAGTTGGAAAAGGATCACAGGGAAGTGGCACCACAGACACAAAATTTGCTGGGCAAGGGAGAAGGGCACCGCCAGGGAAGACTGGGGATAGTAGTCAGTGTTGGCATCCAGAGAGGTAACCCATCCTCACCATTCTTCCTCTGTGGATATTTTCCCTCTCCCCAGGAAAAGAAAGGGCAGGAAGTGCAGAAGGGTCCAGCAGTGGAGATCACAAAATTGGACAAACTGCTGAATCTGGTGAGGGAAGTGAAAACTAAAACCTGAGGGCCTGGCCTCAGCCCCTGCTCCATTTGAACCCAGGACTTGCAGCCCCTGGGCTGGAAACCATGATGCCTAAGTACTCGGCATGTGAATGAAGGCCCTGATTAGGTCCCAGCATTTGCTGTTCGCATCTATCAGGGTTATGGGTATGGTAATCATCATTACCCTGTTACTTTATAGAAATAAACCTATGTCTGGAATCTCATTCTACACCTTTAATTTTGCTACCACAGGGTCTTCAGTAAGAGAAGAAAAATCTCAAGGTAGAGCCTCAGTTCCATTTATTAACCAGCAAACAGTGAGAGGACCAGGGGAGGGCCCCAGCCTAGACACCGTCCCATTATTGCCATGGGTTCCAGTTTGCTTCTCTGACCTAGAGGACCCAAAGGCACTGAGCCTACGGAAAGGGTAAACCCAGCCCTCGGCCCTTGGGATGGAGCAGAGTCCAGATGGCCCTGGCCCTAGCACCAACTCCTGAACTCCCACCCCAGGCCTATCTCTCTAGGACCACCCAAGACTCTTTTGGAGCCAGGCTCATTAGAGTCTGGGCTGCTGGGTCCAGATCCAACCAGGCTAGACTCTGAGTTCTGGACCCCAGGCTGACTCAACTCTGAGATCCTGATTCCAGGCTCTGAGTGGGGTAGAATTAGGTCCCAGGCTCCAGGGCAGACCAGGGGCCTTCAGGGCTGCAGCAAGTAGCTGCCTTCATGGCTAGGCTTCTGGGGTGGTGGTGCCTTCTCAGGACAAGGGCCAGGGCTGGAGTTGGGACTGGATTCGGAGAGAGAATTGACGTCGGCAGAGCGAGAGTGACAGGCCCAGCAGAGAATGACCCAGAGCAGCAGCAGCAAGAAGCCTACGAGGCCGTTGCAGACGATGGCGATGAGGGCCCCTTGGGAGATGGCTGCCCCCATGATGGGCAGCACCCTCAGACCAGCGCAGAGAGTGGAGCTGCCTCAATGCCAAGGCCCATGCCGAATCAGAACTCTGGTATGGTCAGCTTTCCAAGGAGGCTGTCCTGTCTGCACACTGAATGATTCCCGGGCAGTGCAGATGCCCACCTGCAGTCTTGAGCCTGGGGAGTACAGAGCAAAGGGTGGTGAGGATGAAGGAAGGGGGAGGCCTAGGGGTGAGCTCCTGTCACATCTCTGGCCACTGTGGCAGTGGACCTCAGGTTCCAGCAGGCTCAAATAGCCAACAGAGCCAACACCGCCATTCTCAGGCCTAGCTCTAGACACCTGGATTCAGGAGTAGGCAGAGTGGGGAAGCTAAAGTAGGCAAGTAGCCTCTTAACTCATTTTCCTTAGAACTGGTGGGCACAGCCCGGGTCTGCCCAACATGCTTTGGCCCTCAAGCACCCCATTGGTGGGTGGGACTGAGGGAGCTCAAGGCCCAGGAGGAAGAGGATTTTGATCAGATTTGGTGATCAAAGCTTTGGCTTTGGTGTGGCCAGGGCACCACCTCTCTCTCGGGACTGCAGCCAGCCAGCTCAGGAGACCTGCAGAGGTGCCAGCTCACACAGAGGGAACTTTGTGTTGGCCCTGGCAGGCATGTGTGGGTTCTGTGTATTCAAGTCTGTGTCCCTTGGTGTGCCTCTCCGTGGAACTGTCTCTAGGTCAGGTGTGTAGAGTCTGCCTGTCTTACTCTGTCTCTCTGTTCCCTTGCTGGAGTGTGCCTCTGCCTCCGCATACCCACCTCTGTGACTGTCTCTCTTGGTATCTCTTTGCTTTTGTCCCTCTGTGTGTGTTCCCATCGCTAAGTGTCTGAATGTGTCTCCTGTGTGTCTCGTTCTTCTCCCAGTCTGTCTCTGCGTATCTCCCTTCCTGGCTGTGTGTCCTCTGTCCTCGTGGACGTGTCTCTCTCCCCTTCTCCAAAGGGGCTGTCTCGGTGGGTCTGTGAGTCTCCCGCGTCTCTCCCTTTGTGTCTGTCTCTCCGGCGCGTGTCTCTGTCTCCGTGTGGGTCCGTGTCTTCGTCTCCGTCTCGGGTCTCTGGGTCTTGGTCCCCATGCCCGTGCGGGGAGGACCCCCCTTACCTGAGTTCGGCCCGGTGCGCGCCCGCGGGAGGGTCCGGGGCAGCGGAAAGCTCGGCGCCGACTGAGGCTCGGGAGCCTGCGGATGGTGGGGGGGGGGGGGGGGTGAGCGGGGGGGGGGGGCGGTGAGCGGCGGGAGGTAGGTGGGAGGCAGGCAGGGGAGACGTCCACCCCCCCAGGCCTCCCCCCCAGCCGCTCCCGCCTGGGCGACCGGGGCGGCCTCTGCCGCGGGCGGTCTGCGGTGAGCCGGCACCTCCTCCCCCTGGGGCGGCGCCTTCTCCGCTGCTGAGGCCGCTAGCTCGCTGGAGCGGCGGCGGCGGGAACGGCGCGGGGTTCGGCTGCGTTCGGCTGGGCTCGGCTGCGGCCGGCGACTGTCGGCTGAGCTCGATCGAGCTCGGCCAGCCTCAAACACAGCGAAGAGTCCCGCCTACTGAGTGGCCGGCGGCTCGGTGCCTGTAGGGGGCGGAGCCACCTCTGCACGGCTGCGGCGGTTCCATTGGCTGGGCGCGCCAAATTCCGGTGCCATTGGTCGCGCTCTGAGGCGGGACAGGTCCTCCCCGGTCCTGCGGGGGGCGGGAGGGCTGAAGGGGATACTTTGTCTTGATCTGTCCCGGGAGAGGGTGGAGGGTGGAGGCGAGGCCCACCTTCTTTCAGGGATTTCTTGTACCTTCCACACCTGGAATTGCTACGCACTTAACATCGGAGAAAGGCTAAGTCTTCTGCAACCCCACGTCTGAAGAGACTATTCCTATCCGGGCGAGGTCTCATCAGCAAGAAGGCCTCCCACACCTGAAAGTACCAAACCTCCTCATCTAGGAATCCCTCTGTCGTCCCGGACACCCCATGCCCACATGCATCATCTATACTTTAGAGGGTTTGTAGTTGACCATACATGTCCTGGCCCTAGGAGGTGGCATGAAGATTTTCTAGCAAGTTCTTTGGCTGTATTTAGTGAGTTCCCACTCAGGGCAGGTTGTTGGTTTGTGTTTTGCTGTGCTGTGAGGGAGCCTGGGACAGAGAGGAGTGGGGTACCTTGAAGGATGGTTCAGCCCTGGTTGGAATACGTCCAGGCCTGGTGGAAGTCCTGACTCTCTACATCCTAGAAGCACTCCTAAGAGGAAGAAATTTGGACTGGAGCGGTCAGGTGGGCCTCCCTCTCCCCAACCCTCATATGCCAGTCATTATTTTCCCCCTGAGGATGAGTCCAGGCTCTCGCATATGCCAGTGTGCTCTACCACTGATCTGCACCTCTACCAGTGATTCTTGAGTGTTTTGGTCTAGGCCCTTTTCTTACTTAAACAGCGTATTCTCCATGGACAGTCACATCTCTGAAGCTGTATCAAGAAGACGCATTGTTCTCCCAAATCCAGCCTTAACTTCTCACTGAACTTCTAGATTCATGTAGCCAAGTGCCTACTGGAATAAGGGTACTGTTGATCTCTGGGTCTGCCACTTTGTGACCTTGGACAAGTTTCTTACCCTCTTAACTTCAGCTTCCTTGTCTATACAATGGTTACAGTAGTCATGACCTGTCAGCGTTGTTTTTCATTCATTCATTTCTATCAGACCAACCACATGATAACCACATGACAACATAGCTGACAACCCCAAAGACCAGGTGGCTAAAGGGGCCTCTTCTTTCAATACCATGAAATTTACTTAAGACCCCCTAGAAATCCACATGCTACATTGAAAATAAAAAAGGGAAGGATAAGATAATCTGAAAGACTGAGTCATCCAAAGCTACTGAGTTAGAGACTGTTAAAATAAATTCTGGACCTTATGGAGTTGACCAGAATGGATTAATTTTAGCCCCTACTCCCTGCAACCCAGCAGAGTGAGGGCATTGTGAGAAAGATCAGATCAATTATAGGAAACAGGAGACATACTATATTGCACATCTGAGTGTGATATGAGTGAATTTTGTGACCCAGCTACAGGAGATCAGATTTTATCCTGATAATAGCAGGAAGCCACTGAAGAATTTTGAGGAGTAATGTGATCATATCTAGAAACTAGACCCCTGATTAGGGTGGCTAGGTGGAAATGGGTAGTGAAGGCATTTGAGAACAAAGACAAGGGCTGAGGATGTAGCTCAGTGGTGCCACCCCTGCCTGGCAAGTGCAAGGTCCTGAGTTCTATCCCCAGTATGGGGGAGCGGGGCAAAGACAAGAAGTAAAGAGGAGAGGCTGAAGTGATGGTCGGAAACAAGTGAAGTGAACAGGAGAGTATTGAGGACTTTTGGGAGCTACATCTGGCAGAACTAAAGATACTTAGAGGGGAAAGGAGGTAAGAGGGAGGGGAAAATCTGGGCACTCTGGCTAGTGGCCCAGGATGCTGTGATGCTATTTACTGTGATGGAGGGGAGGATACATGAAAGTGAATTTCATCAGGGTACTTGGGCAGGGGTACCCTGCATTTCTTTTGCATTTCTTCTAGAAATGCTAAATTTGAGGTATCAGTAGGACACCCAAGTGGAGATGTTCTGTAGACACTTGAATAAACAGATCTGAGCTTCAGGAGAGAGGCCAAGGCTAAAGATAACATTTTGTAAGTTACTAGCCACAGAGTGATACTTTAGCCAGAAAACTGGATGAGCTCACCCAGGGAGAATGAGAGCTGGTTTAAGCAAAAAAAGCTACATTTGAAATCAGATACTGAAACCAAAAGACAGGGATGCCTGAACCGAAACTAAGAGCCTCAGAAGCCATCAGGGATCTCACCCCATCTCTCATCTGTTACTTTCTGCCTGTTTCCTCATTTTCCTCCCCTGCCCCCTGCCCCAAGCCCCTGCCACTTCCACCTCCAGGAGGTTTCCAATACTCTCCTGGTCCGTATGTTGAAAATCATGACTTCAAACAATTCCAAATATTAAAATCTTATTTGTCTAAACATCTGAAGAGACTGGTGGCGGTGGCATCTGTGCTGCTGGCGGTGCTTTTGGATGCAGTTTGTAAATTCCTCAGAAAGTACTCCGATTGGCCCAATTTAGATGCCTAACTTTGGACTAATCAACAGTGGTAAAGGATGAAGATCAAATTAGTTAATATGCTCCCCATGATATAGTTGGAGTGAGGTGGATTCCAAAAGAGAGATTACAAATAAGCAAAATGGCAGGTGTTCACTGCAGGCCACCATTTTTTGGCGTGTGTGTATGTGTGTGTGTGT